TGACTGGCATGGAGGGGGGGATTGGCTGAACCATAAATAGCAGAACCATGGTAAGGAAAGAAAAATGTCAGACAACTTGGCAATGGGAGCCCTTACTACAATGCTTCATCGAAGGATAATAAACCATTGAGCAATGATGTCATCAGATGTGTGCCTGCCTCCATTATATCCCAAGCCTGAAGAAGACCTTTCCAGAGTTAAAGTCACCTCAAGGGGCAGCTGAACATCAGGGAGGTAGAAGCAAGATGTCCAGTGATACTCGACTAGCAACACCACCACATTCATCATCAACCGTGGTGGTTTTTGAGACCATCACAACCTTTCATGATCAGACAAAACTAACAAAGATCTCTTCACTAGTTGCATGATCCTCATTGTCCATTGTGAACTAGTGGGCCTCTGCTTCAACTTCAAGATTAGCACATCAGGAAGACACTGGAACATGGGATCACTAAAGTACAGGATTTCAAAGCCAGAGCTTCCCTCTGCAAAAAAAGACCCTGAGAGCTACCTCAACAACAACCACTTAAAGGATTGTTTTAACTTGTGATTTCCATTGTTAAAAACTTTCAATGGTGGTTTTAGTTGTCAAAGGATCTATTTTTGTGTCAATGTGTACTTGTATCTGTGTTAAAAGATTTATTTTTTGTTTATTTGATTATGTGATGTAATTTTCGGATGCATTTTTGTATATTTGCTAAAGGACTGTGATGTCTGTTTTTGGAAGCTAGAGTTAAAAAATTCTTTACAAGCATTATTTTAAAACTTATTGTATTTAAACTTTAATTGTTGGCTTGAGATAAACCTGAAGTAGGATAAACCATCCATTTCTATCTTTTTGTAGTATTAGGTGTTAATTCTGAATTTATTCTTTGTTCTGAGTATGTGTATGTTTCATATAACATGTGGTTAAGAAAACTTTTACATTGCTCTGTTTTAAATCACATTTGTTCTTTTGATGTTCTCAAAGTAGATAATACCTGTAACCATCTTGGGAGAAAATTGCTTAATATGACATTGTGTAGAATGTTGACAGTAGTATCCTTCACCACTTCCTCAGGTGATATCTAGAGGTTACAGCCCCCATGTTGTAATGAGAATGACCAGTCATGAGGCTAATGCATGTTGTGCTGGGTGAATGCTGGCATTTAAACAGTCATGTATATGGTTTCAACTTGAATTATGAATGTAGAAGAGCCAGTAGGGGTGATTGTCTGTTGTATGCAAGAACTACAAGTACACATTATGTGTTTGTGTTACATCATATAATAATAATTTACATTTTGTTCTACATTGGTGTCCGGTTTCATTATTCTATGTATCATTAACTCGTTTAATTAAGAGTTTTAGTAATACTCTGTAATGAATATCTTGAACAGATCTTCAGTTATTTATCAAACCTCTCCATTAGCTCTCAGTGATTCAGTTCACTTGAATATACTACAGACTGGATAGGTAGGAGAGATTTTTCACAGTAGAACCATTACTATTCCTCGCTTACATTAATGATAATAGTAAAGGCATAGTTGATACATGGTTAAGTTTGTTGTTGGTACAGTATAAATATCTTAGGTCAGTCTCTTTGTAACAAGGATGCTGTGATTTTACAGAGACTTAAATTATTTGAATAGTTATGCATGTAGATTATCCCAATATAAATTACACCAAATGTAGATGAGAATCTTCTTAATTATGTGGAAAAAGATCTTTGGATATTGGTTGATACAGTTCTGAAGCATTCAAAAGAGTTTTCTGTTGCAGGTAGTAACAGTAACAGAAGTTTGGTTTGTTTATATATATATATATAAATGTTCACTATAAATCTAAAAATGTCATGGTTTTGTTGTATAAGGTGCAAGTTTGGTCATATTTAGAGTATTGTGTGTAGCTTTGGTTCCAACATCTATTATATTGAATTGTTGGAAAAGGCTCAGAGGATGATTCTAGGGATGGGTGAATTGTCATAGGAATAATGTGAGATATCTTAACTTGTTCTCTCTGGAAAAGAAAGGTCAAATGATAATCTAATTTAAGTGCTCAAAATTATAAGAAATTTGATGCATCAATTTTATTTGTTTAATTCTGAGGGTAAGAGGTCATAAATATTGAAAGATCGGACACTTATTCTGTTGAAGTAGCTTTATTTCTTCAAGAGGATGGTAAATATTAACAAATTGCCATCTAGAGGAGTAAGAGCAGTTTGAGGGAAAAACAATGTATATTTCAAAGATCGAAGTTGTATTGAATGATTAGTTTTCTGTTTGTTGAGGAAGGTTGGGAGTCGAGACATCCTTGATGGACTAAGAAGCCCCTTGATCTTCCATAATTTATACTTATAATGTCACATATAAAAGTGTACATTTTCAAATTAAAGTTTTTGTTTTTTTACTATAGTTTTTACAAAATAGTGGAATGAGAAAGGTGTCATATTCATCAGATTCTATGAAAACCAAAATATTTTCATTGATATTGTTAATGCTATTTCTAACTGGCTTATCTTGTTTTAAAGCCTGATTATTGCATTGCGTAAGATATAACACAGTGATGAAATAAAAAAAAGTTATATATTTATAAAAATACCCCATTTTCTTGATCTTATATCTCGGAGAACAACTAATAACGGAAAAAAAAGAGTGTATTGAAATAAAATCTTTCAATTATGTAACATTTAGATATTTCTACACTAGTTTAACACCAGCACCTCCATAGTCACAAAAATAATAGAGACTTGTCAGATAGATAATGATTCTTAACAAAAGTAATGAAGGTAGGTGTATATAGATTAGACAATTCTCTTTATAAAGAGTGAATAGAGGAAGGTCGTTCAATTTTATAACAGAATGCATATTGTTTGGACTAAGACAACTATTTTTAATCATATGTTCAAGTTAAAATTTAAAAAAAACAATTCTAATTTTGAATTTAATGATTTCCCATTTTCTAATACAGGTATGCCAAACAAGTTATTGCTACAATGTTTATAAACAGAGCTCAGAAACTCACGTTTTTTACAAATGAGGTTTCACTTGCTGTATTTTGATTATTAAATTGATTAATTTATGTAGCAAATATTAATGTTTCTTGTTACCAAGTATGGTATTAAATATATTACTAGGGATAGCTTTTTTCTGAATTTTGGAATTTTAATTGCTCAAATCCCAGTTTCCCAGCCAATATTCTAATTCGTTTATTCATTTGCATTATATTTTGTCTTAGTCAAAAGTTATTAAACTATATGCATTACTTATCTAAGTTAAATAATTAAAAAATAATGCAAACACAAGAGACTGGTAAAACTAAGCATTTATTATTTTATTATTAAAACTGTTATCATACCTTATGAATGCTGTAATTGGATTCCTTTAGTATATGCATCACCATCGTCGAGAAACAAGAATAATGTAGTATCCAGAGTGTAAACAATTAAACTTGAGTTACAGGCAGCTTTCTTAAGTTTAATCAAGAAACTGCATTGTTTAAAAGTTTTCATGCAACTTGGTTAAACATTACCACCCTGAGAGAAAAAATCGGGGTATAACATTTGAATTTTACTGGTCTGGAAAGGGTTAATACAATCTTGAAAGCCCCAGAATACCAGGATTTCAACCACTGTGTTTTACAGAACACTTTGAGCTTTTAAAACCTAATTTATTTTTTAATCCAATAAAGAAATAATGCAAAATTATAAAATGTTGGGTGACTGTTAGTATTGTATACTACAACATGATCTTATCAGTTTAATTAGTTCCTGGTAATATTATTAATGCTATTTATTGCTGTTCATATTTATCACTTATTTTCTTGGGTGTACTTTATACCTTTCAGACGTAGTGTCTGATAAGTGGTTTATATATGCAGTGTCTTCATCCAGGGCACTATTCTGGATGCATGTAGAACTTATCTTTTCAAGTTATTGATTAATTTTATATATATACATATCACATGTACATATATTAGGAATTATTTATTTATTTGTTTTATTACTAAACCAATAAGGTCAAGAAATTGATTTACATTGATCACTCATCGTTATATGAAAGATTTATAGAAATTTATTTATGCTAGTGTTGTGTTTTCTTAAGAATTGGTGTTAGAACCTTGGTATAATTCTCCAGATCAGTGTCTTTAGGTTATGATTTTTTGTGTTTATCTTTTGTAACTACTATCTATTTTAATTTACAGATGTGCACTACTGCCCACATATAGCCACACAAGTATATTCATGTTTCATGTATTGGTAAACTGTATGGATTTTAGGAGTTAATGACTAATGTTTTTGTATGTTTTTAAGTGATGAAATACTCTTTTTTTCTCTTGTCAGAATTATTTTGCATTGCAGTCGTAGAATATAGATTTATAACAAACCTAAGTTGGCAGAACACTGTGAGATATTTTTGTGAAAATGCCATTAACAACGAAGGTAACCAACCAAAAATGCTTCAATGCATTTTGTCCATTATAGGTTTTAGTTTTTTTTGTGTGTTAATTCATGATGTTAAATACTTTTAGTTAGTTTGTAATATGAGATTGGCTTCATTAACATACAACTTGCATTTTATTTCTGATCTATATATTTCTCTTACTTTTGATATAAAGTTTCTAATAAGTTTAAAATTAACTTGTGCAATAATATGTATGTCTGGTAATGTTGAAATACTAGGCTACATACATTTCAGGCCATCTTTTACACTTCTTACCTACTCTCAGTATATATTTATAATAGATGGGATACATAAATCTACCATTTATACCTTTTTTATGTTCTAATATCAATATAAATGGCTGGAAGTTTGGTCATGGTTGGTTTATAGGAATAGTCTATTCTCATGAAGGTAAGAAATTGCTAATTTACACAATCATTTTCCTCTACATCTGACATTTATTCATATTTTCTGAACTTCTTTTGTCTGTATATGTTTTTACATTGTTTTTAAACTTAAATTGGTAACTTTTAGATCAGCAAATGGAAATTTAAAAATTTTTCATACACCTTTTTTTAGTCTGAATAAACTAGAACAGTGGTTCTCAAACTTTTTTGTTTGTGGATCACCCGAATTCTTTTTATCTTGGTGGACCACAATGGAATCTACACGGTAGGCTGTCACTTCATTTCACTAATTATGCAACCTTTCCACAGACCAACTGAAGGGAGACCATGGCCTACAGATTGAGAACCACTGATGTAGACGATATCTTTATCAATTGAAAGTTTGATATAAATTACAAAAATATGTTTTTATGGTTAACCAAAACTTTTTCTTTTTCACCTGCTTGTGATGTACTTCCTCAATGTAAAAAAATCATGCTGTTAATATTTGATAAGCCTCTAAAGTTAATGTCTCCTGTGTACCCTAGTTCTTCATTGGCCTATCACATTGTAACTGCAAATCATAGGATAATTTCTCAAAAATATCTTATTGTCAAGCAGTATACTGTCAAATTAAAACTTCTTACCGAATTTTGTGTGAAGGTTAAATAAATTAGGTATTGCTTCAAAACCTTATTTTGACTGCTTTATAATTGAATTTGTATTTAATGTATTATCAAACTTTTTAGGTTAAAAAATTAGTTTTCACTTCAGAACCTTATTTGGCTACTTTATAATATAAATAGTATTTAATGTATTATCAAACTTCTTTCAGTCCACAAACAAATAATGAAATATTTCTATGTACAGTTTTCAGTGTAAATATGAACTTAGGTAGTTATAGTATTAATGAAATGCCATGGGATAAATTGTGTTTATAGTGGTACTGCATTTAATGACCACAAATGTTCTGAGATTATTGTTTGTACAGTATATATATAGAATTTATAATATCAACTTATTTAGTAATCTTGCCTGTATCCATGATTCTATGTTAATTTAAATTATTTCTTCATTAATTAATGCATATTTAGATAATGTTTTGCTTTAGGGTAAACTTAACTATCAGAAAGAAATGGCTTTTTTTTTGTGCTTAAAATGACTTTTTCTTTTGCTATATGAAATTGTACTATTGGTTTATCAGTTTATATGAAATTAGCATGTATATTATTATAAAATGTAATTTGTGAGTTTACTTTTTTTTGTGTTTGGTAGGGTAAGGCTTGAATGTGGTGAAATATCAACTCCATAACTGTAATTAAAGGTTCTGGTTTGATGTCATGTTATGCTTCTTACAAGTTACAACACTGGGGTTTAATCTGCAAGAGTATCAAAAAAGTGCTTAATGCAATTCTTTTATTCATTTCAGTTTAAAAAAAATACATCTCATAACTGGAATCTACTAGATGTATTACTGAAATTGCTTAGAAATGAAAAAGTATTTTAATTAGATTGTTACTAAAATTTATATTCAGATGATTACCTTTTTTAACAGTACTAGACCAGCTCTTGTACTTAATCATACAACAAATATTAATAATTGAAATTACTTTTCCCCCTTTTTAAATGCTCAAATTAATCTAACTTTGAAGTATGCATATAAGCATATCACACTATAAATCTCTGCTTGAGTAGCTAATTGATAAAGAGAAAAAATAAAGTAATAATTCAGCTGTTTTTTATGTATTTTTTTTAGATTAGAAGCATTTGCTAAGTTTAATAGCAAAGTCACCAGCATAATTATGCATGCTTTCCATCATGAGATGGATAAGAATACACTAATTTCTGGTTCTTTTTTTTAATGAAAAAAACAAAAAAACATTGCCATTTGGTTTAATACTTCATGATTTTCATCAAAGATTATAATAATAATTGTTTAAAATTGTTGGAATGCACTGTACTTGAAATAGTTTCTAAGTTTTTAAAGGTATTTTTCTTAACCCTTTGTGACTGTAGCCATCAACAACAGCAACTGGAAGTTTATTAAACTTCAGTGAATACTTCATTTAGATTTAAGTGATGCAATACTATAAGAGTATCAGTCAGTAAGGCCCAGAGTTACATTGAAAGACTATTTACTTCAAGTATTTTGTATTAAGGGGTTAAGCACGTAAGTGTTAAAAGTTCTTGAACAGCTCAATAATTTTTGTTTTGTAATTTTATTTATTACTGATATGAAACACCTTTCATGCTGTTTTAATACATGTACTGAAAAATCTCAATAAACCGTTAGATAATGATATGGTGTCACGATTCATGACTTGTATCTGTGTTTCTAAATATATAGACACACACACTTAGGATTTTCTTCATGATAATGAAACCTAGGAATAATTCACAGTACTTAAAGTCAGCACATGGCTAAACCCTCTAAATACTATGTGTAATGGAAATTTCTGAAACTGATTTTTATAGACAAGCTTGAACATGTAGTAACTTTAAAGTTAATGATTTTTATATATTTTGTATAGAAAGCTCATCCATAAACATACTGAAAATTAGAATTCTGTAGTAAAACAGACATACAAAGGTACCTACCTTATAATCATAATCTGTATAAAAAAAACAAAAAACAATGTTTTGTTGGGTCACCAGAAATCCATAATTTATTTTAAAAGCATGGAAGATACTATATTAAGTTTTTAATGTCTTGACCACAAACTAAAGTTCATTATTTTTCATTCTTGTTAAATAAGATTATAGTTTTAATAATGTAGTACTGTGTATGACAGGTTTGGTTGCAGACAGGTATCATTTTTATTATTATTTATATCAAACAAGGCAATTACTGGCCACTAGCTAATGTTAACCATGCTCGGTAAATCATTCATCAAATATACTGCCTGTAGTTATCTAACCATTGTTTGGATGATACATATAACAAGGTTTAGCAGCACATCATTTGATCAGATGACAATTGCATGTTATTACGATTCTTGGAATAATCACGATTTATTCATAGCATTGTTCAGAAAATATGTATCATATTGTTTCATGACTGAGAAATCTGAAAGTGTATTTGTTGTTAAAATTGGACCTTTGGTATCAATGGAGGCTTAATAATGGGCAAGAACTGCTGACTCCATGAAATACCATTTAAATAGATGATACCCCATATTAATTTACTTCATTTGTTCTTTCAACCTTCTAATTTGGTGTTTTCCTTTCATCTACCTTTTATGCTTCGAAATAAAGAAAAGACTGGATGGTCAAACCTTTGAATGTTTCCGATAAACATTAGAAAAGGAAGTATGGGAAATCATACTTTAATCAGTGCTTAATGTACTCAAGATGGGAAAAGTTAACAACTAATTTTAATAACAATTTTAGGATGATAGTGAAGTTATATATATATGTTCTAAAGTGCAAGAAATATGAGGAACAAAACAAATTAAAGTTAATAATTCTTTTGTACATATAATTTTTTTTTCCACGTGTCTTGATATTATTTGTCTGGGAAATTTGTTTCGTCCTAGATTTATGTATATAACTGTAATATATAAATTGATAGTTGGTCTAAATGCAACTAGACTTATGTTTATTCGTATTGATACAGTTATAAATTCACTTGGTATTCAAAACTTTATGTTTTCTGAAATCTTTGTAAATAGAGTTGTGTTTCACAGGACAAATTATCCAAGGTTTATATACTTTGAATTATTTATGTTTGAATATAATAATTTTATGTGGGCTAATTTCCTAAGCCTCTCAATAGGTGCAATATTAGAAATACCAATGCTTTTAATTATCTTACTTATAACACGAAAGTATTTATTTATCAGCTACATAAATCTTTTAAAGTTTGAAATTTGTTTGATGACAAGTTTCGTGATAAATTACCTTGTCTATGAGAAAAATCATCATTATACTTAAATTCATTGTGTGCCAGCTACGTTTGAAGAAGTTGTTCATTTTTGGATATCTTGTGAAAATAATTTTTGTTTTTGAGTAAAAAACAACATCATAAACTTCTGTTCAATTTATTTTCGAATCACACGTATTTATTTTTAGTCTGGTTTCTGTTTAGTTGTTTTATTTCAAAGTAATGTAATTTTGTGATTACAGCAGTAACATGGATGATAAATACCCCAAGTACCAATAACCTGCCAACAGACTACTTGACCTTTCATAACTCTGTGAAGCATGACCTCTGAACTGAAGAAATAAAAGTTGCATTATACAGGTTTACAGATTCTTCATACTTAAAAGAATAAATATAAAAGGAAAGGAACCAATGGTATTAAAATTTGAATTGGATGACGAGGAACCCACTCTTGGGCAATAAAGTTTGGAGATGGCTTGAATGGGTACCTGATGATGACAAAACTTTGTTGAAATGTTCTACATTTGTTACTGTGTTAAACTTGTAGTAACATTTTCTTTATTACCCATTCAACCATCTCCAAACTATTACCAATTATATTAGTTTATAGTAAGATGCATTTAAATCACCCATACTTAAAAAAGTATGTTAACTTAGCTAAATTTTTATTGGGTTAATTGTTATTAATGTGTTATGCTGATAGCTTGTTTTCATTGAGAATAAAGGTATTGAAGATACCTCTAAAATTAGCACAAAATTTAAATGTGTGAACTACGTATCTATAGTTTGTTGAATTTAAAGTGTTATGGAATACAAGTTCAGAAATATCTTATCTGTAACTCTTTTTTTTTAAATGTCCACTGGCAGGACAGCTGTAAGTTTATGGATTTATAAGACTAAAATCCAGGGTTCAGTTTCCCATGGTAGAAACAGCAGATAGTCCAATGTGGCTGTGATTTACAACACACACACTTATATATATCCATTTTGAAACATTACATGCTTTTATGTATTCAGTCTTTGGAAATGTATTATTTTACATCTATCATGACTCGAAATAAATAAATATATTAAGTTTGCCTGTAGATGCTAAATAGTTTTTTTAAACATCAGGCAAAATAGAATAACTGCTAATGTTTTGTAAAATAGTTTTAAAATTTGTAAAAACTTTACTTTTGCAAGTTCCTCAGCCAAATAATTCTCTATTGATTTCATATTGTTTTCTCATGGGTTTTTCTATGAATATCCTTTCTAATGCCATAAAACTGTCATTTGAATATGTCAATTTGTAGAGTTTTTTTATGTTCTGAAAAATATATATAGTAATGAAGTTTATGTATGTGTACCCGATTCTAGTTATGTAAAATGTCAAAATGAACAATACATTTTTTAATTTGGTGGATATTTATTAAACAATGTGAAATCTAAATGCTTCAAGATAGCAAAAATAATATATATATATATAAAGTTTAGCAGTTTTGATACATAACATTTAACTCGCCACAGCTTTCTACATTTCAATGTATGATCATAAATCTCAAGACTAATAAAAGTAAATAAATTTTCCCGTATAATTAGCAAAGTTCTTACAGGATCAAAGTATGGCTCAGGCAAAGAGATAATTATAAAAGTTTAGTTAAAGGACTGTTTTAATCTATTTCATTAATACAACAGAAGATTTAACTTGTTTGTTTTTTTATTTATTAATTTTTTGCATAAATTGGGGAAACATTTTCCAGTTTATTTAAATTATGCACTTTTGTCGTTGTTTTTCAGCAGTTATAATGTACTGTCCGAGTATTTTATAATAGATTTATACCAAGAGTTCCTTTTCTTTTCACAATCCCATCTTCTGATGATGAACAAATAAAATCCCATAAAGTTTGAACTTAAGCCTTTCCCTACAGGGAGTTCTTCTTGAAGAAGTCTAATCTTCTGATTGTTAGCAAGCAAATCCTTTAAAGATCCAACTGACAGAGGGTTTACATTGTTTTTTATATAAACTTTTTTTTATCAGTTTTGTACTAGGGATGCAATATAGTTTAACTTGTATTTTAAATCGGAAATCATAAAAGGTTTAACTTTTTTCTGATGGAGTTGTAAGATTTACTTTTTAAATTAAAATTAGTTTGTTTAGTATAGTAACTCAGCTCCGAAAAATACTTGTTTAAAAAAGTTTGTTTCAAAATAAGTGCCATTTTCAACTTTCAGAGAGATTTTGTTACAGTATTTAACCCTCTATTGCACATTGTAACAAATCTTTGTTGCTGAATGCACATAAAGATGCTTCAGTTTTGTAGTTAATGCTCCTCTTACTTCTAGGTAACAGTCTAAATGAACCATGGAATTGTTTCTATTGATACCTCGGGTTGAGAAATGCTACTTCTAGGTAACGTACCCATTTATAACTAACCAAAATATATTCACAAAAACTTTTTTTTAAATCTAATATTGATCTATTTAAGTAAGAAATTCAAAGAAAAAAAAATGTTTGCACTGTATTTTCATGATGCATGCAATAGAGAATTAGATATTCAGTGTAAAATTTATTTTAAATTTTTAGCACAACAGTTTTCTTTTAGATGACATAAACTATGCTACCAAACAAAAATAATGAAGGAAGAAAAAAATTAAGAATAATAGCTTCAAGGGTATCAAATGTGTAGGATCATATCTTGTCCTAACAGTTAACCATCATTCTGTAGAATATGTAGATACTTATCTTATGATGGTATGCTACATGAACCAATTTATAATAATAATATTACATTCTTCGGGTCGATTGTGCAACAGACTAAGTCTTATTCTTTAAAATTTCAAAAATGTGTTTCCTAATCAGTTTATCAAACGTTTTGAAATATGCTCAAATAGTGTTGTTAGTTTTCCCATGGATTTGCTTATATTGGTATAATAGCTAGATTATCATGTCTTGCACATTATACAAAATTACAAAAACTGGTTCCATTTTCTGTATTGTAAGACTGCATGTCTTTCACGTTCAAATAGTCTAATTCATTTATATAATTTCAATATTAATAATCGTTAATACAGGTATTCCACTTTTTAAATAAGTTTCATGCCAAGTAAATGAACAAATTCATTTTTTCAATACTTATTTTGTTGCCAACACAACTGTAAATACATATGCCTTTTTTATGCTCAAATCTATCAAATTAAATCAAGAAAACAATGTTATAAAGCAT